CGCCCAACAGGTTTGCCTTGCCTGCCGCCTAGACAGAGCTGATTTGTCAAGACATGGTAACTGTAATACAGAAAGGGCAGAGAATTCATGCAGAGCCAGTGTATGGAAGACTGGAGTTTTTATTACAACTTAAACCAGTCTCCCTGAAAACTCAGGGGTTGGGGTTTTAAAAGATTATTTGGTGGGTAGAGGGTTGGAAAGTGGAACGTCCTGATTGGTCGGGTCAGAGATGAAATCATAGGGAGTTGAAGCTGTCCTCTTGTGTTGAGTCAGTTCCTGGGTGGAGGCCCCAATGCCAGATGAGCCAGTTTACTGATCTGGGTGGTGCCAGCTGATCCACTGAGTGCAGGGTCTGCAAAACATCTCAAGCACTGATCTGAGGTTTTACAAGCGTGATATTATCCCCAGGAGCAATTTAGGGAAGTTCAGAATCCTCCAGCCTCCAGCTGCATGACTCTTAAACCATAATTTCTAATCTCGTGGCTAATTCGTTAGTCCTGCAAGGGCAGTCTCCTCTCCGGGCAGGAAGGGGATTTGTTTTGGGAAAGGGCTGTTACCGTCTTTGTTTCAAAGTTAAATTATAAACTAAGTTCCTCCCAAAGTTAGTTTGGCCTCTGCCCAGGAATGAACAATGACAGCTTGGAGGTTAAAAGCAAGAGGGAGTCGGTTAGTTCAGATCTCTTCCACTGTCATAATTTTCTCAGTTATAATTTTTGCAAAGGTGGTTTCAGAAGGAAGGCCCATTAATTTATCTTAGCTACTATCTGCAGGATATCTGGCCGATTTAACCTAGACTTCTGCTATCACTATCAACTTGACCACTGGACAACAAACAATCTTAATTTTAAAACTTTCAGAATCTTCCCAAAGCCTCACTAAGATACAACATAACAAAGTTAACTTTCTGAAAATTTATATTATTTCCTTTAGCGTCATTCTGTTATCACTGGACTGTTTTGTACATTTTTTGCAGACCACCTATTGTTCTAAATTCTCTAGCATGACTGACAGTGGACAATTGTATTGTTTTGGATTTCCTGCTGGTTAGCTCAGGCATGATATGTGCCATTACCAACACCTCTTGCCTCACCTGCATTCAGCCCTATTAACTGACTTCGATCTGGATTGGGAACCTGTCTACCAGCCAGTGGGCCTGATTAAACTACAGGGACTTGTAATCTTAGTTACTCTGATTTAATGTTGCCTAAGAGAAATGGAATGGATCCAGTCTAAGCCTTTATCAGTACAATTAATTAGAGTATCTGATGAACTTATGTGGCAGCTTATGCTCCTGAGAATTCTTAACCATATGTGTGATAGGTTGGGAGGTAGAGTTGTAGGGGAATGACTCTGCCATGGTACCCTGGCAATCTTGCATATATCTACATAGGCCACACAGGCAAAGGCATGAACAGTAACTATTCTAAGTCTTAGCATGTTGTCTCGTGATCCTCCAGAACACAAGAGGATAAGAGGAGCTTTACAAGGTCATCCCTCACTCCCTTCCGTGTCTCCTGTAGGAGGCTGTCATGAGACAGTTTTTCATTGCCTCTGAGATTCTGATGAAGCATGAGACTTTGTTCCCCCAGAAGGAAGTAGTGTTACAGTCAACAGTTATAACCTGAGTAGGGTGGGTCCTCCCAGGTCCACAGTTGTACCTGCCAACCTATCATACATATGGTTAAGAATTCTCAAGAACATGAGCCACCACATAAGTTCATCACTCAATCCAATGTACGTTGTAGGATACCCCATTTCTGAGGAGCCAGTTTTAGACTGCAGCAGTGTTGCAGTCTAAAATTGGCTCCTCAGAAATGGGGTATCTTACAATGCACATTGCAGTCATCCAGCTTCCTTTTGTTTCATGGCATTCTTTTTAGCATGTAGGACGAGGACCCGGGGAGCTGGCCTATTTGGCTACTCTTCCTTTTGCTGTCTGTGTAAATACATCGTATGAGTCTAAAAATGGCTTATTGTATCTTTTTTTTTTTTTTTTTTTGAGATAGAGTCTTGCTCTGTTGTCTAGGCTGGTGTGCAGTGGCATGATTTTGGCTCACATAAGATGTCCTGCTTCTAGTTAGCCCACCTGTAATTTTCCCATGCCAACAACTTCCATTAAGGGAATGCCTGAAGCCATTCCTTTTTTCCACTATGACGCTTCCCCCACTCTTCTGCCTTTCAGTCTGCTGAATGCAGATGATGAGGGCTGACTTTTCATATGTAGCAAGTTCTGAATAATTGTCTTTGTTTTCATTTGAGTAGTCTTTTATTTTCACAACTTTTAAAATAATGTAATTTCCTGGCATGTTGTGTGATGTTAGGTAAGCCATTTTCTCTCTTTGGGCCTTACTTTCTTCAACTGAAAAGTTGGTTCAACATTTATTCATTCTTTTATTCTGTAAGCCAAAAATAAAATTCTAAGCCCCCTGACCATCTGAATGGATCTCTCCTCTTGGCCAAGGACATTCCAAAGTTAACCTGAAAAACTGGTTCAGGCCATGATGGGAAAGAGGAGTTGGACATGCCTCATTATGCGCCCCTCCCTTTTGAAATTCAGGCCCAGCTGACCAGCATTAACATCAACACAGACCTTAAGACTGATGGAACAGCCTCTTTAAGTCTCACAGACCATCAGGTAGTGTGATAATGATAAGAAACATTTACAATCTATTCTCTGAAGCCTGCTACAGGCTCCATCTGCATGATAAAACCTTGGTCTCCAAAAGCTCTTATCTTAACTGAGACAGTGCTTTCTATTGATTCTAACTCTCTAGACAATAAATAACTTAACTCTTGTAAACAATTGCTGCTCAGAAAATCTTTGAATCAGTCTATGCTCTGAAAGCCCCCCTCTTCCAGTTGTCCCACCTGTCCAGACTGAACCAATGTACATCTTACATGTATGAATTGATGTCTTATGTCTTCCTAAAATGTATAAAACCAAGTAGCCCAACCACGTTGGGCACATGTTCTCAGGATCTCCTGGGGCTGTGACACGGGCCACGGTCACTCATATTTGGCTCAGGATAAATCTCTTCAAATATTTTACAGTTTGACTTTTCGTGGACAATTCTGCAAATATTTCTCAGCAGTTAAAGAAATTACTCCCCAAGAGTTGCTAGACATTAGGTGAATGTTAGAGGCACAAAGATGAGAATGCTGAAGATATAACATAAAACACCCGTCTGCTCTGGGAATGCAGAAACTGGTAAGAGAGAGAAATGAGCAGGTGCAGTCGAAGTACCCGCTACTTCCTGTCAGCATATAGCTGTCCGCCTGGGGTGCAGCGAGCTGGAGAGGAAGGGGTGCCCTGGAGCGCCCCGGAAGGATTCCTCTCCAGCCACCTCCACCCCTATCCCGGTAGCGGCCCCTGGGATCCTCAGTCTCCAAGAGAGCCGGACCGCTCTCCCCTCCCTCCCAGGGCGAGAAAGGAGGACCACAGAGACGCGGCGCCCTCCGCCGTCCTAGAGCAACCGGAGCAGCCCGAGCCCCGGCCTTCCGGATGTGGGAGTCTGGCTTGCGCTTAGCGCTGGCAGTCGTCCGTGGGGTGGGCAGTCGTGCGTGGGGTGGGCAGCCGTGCGTGGGGTGGCAGCGAGTGGAGTTGGGGGTCTTACCCGGGCGGCTGCAGGGCGCGGGGGTGCAGTGTCAGGCCTGCCCAGGTCCAGGGCATTCCTCCCCGACCCCTGCACCTCCGGCCGGGTCTGGGGGGCGCTCGCTTTCCGGGAGAGCGAGCTGGGCTATGGCAGCCGCGGCCTTGGTGAGCGGACACACCTTGGCCCTGCCTTCGAGCTGCTGCCGGTTCAGCTCACGCTGCCCCGGGCGTGCCCGGTGAGTGCGGGACTGGAGCCTGGAAGCAGGCTCGGCCCTGCCCTGGGTTCTAGGCCCCGAGACGGAGTGTTGTGGCCGCTGGGAAGTGGGGGTACAACCCAGAATGGGGGGCCTCGAGGGACAGGCAGCAGAGCGGAGTCGACACCCCCGGACATGAGCCTCAAGGAGAGCAGACGTGCAACAGCACGGGGTTGAGCCGACTGCTGGGGCAGAGTGCACATTGTGCTGTGGGGGGATGAATGGCCAGAATTTCAGAGCCAGTTTTACAGAGCTGGTTATGTTTGAACTGGGTATTAGGTTGAAAAGGAATTTGCAGCGCAGGAACAGGAGAGAACTGGATATTCAGGCAAGGGTAGCTGCAGGTGCAAGGGCACAGAACTTACACAGTATGGAGACTGAGACCCTGAGGGAGGCAGTGCTGAGAATTACAGGAACTCTCAATGGCTGGAGGTCAGCACTGTTTCTCAAGGAAGAGGATGAGAGAAAGGAAAGAACGTGCAGGAGCTGAGATTCCTAGAGATATAGAAAATGGGGACGTGGAGATGGGAGCGTGGGGAAGCGAGGTGGGATGTTTGAGAGCGTGTGTTGTGGATGGGGGAGGGCAGGCAGTAAAGTCACAGCAAGGATCTGCCCTGTGGAGTACAGTCTCCAGGGCAACATTAGTGTTGGGAGGATCCCCTAGCTGCCTCTGTGGCTGGTGGCAGTGACTGGGGAGGACAGAGGAGGAAGAGTCCTACACAGGGGCAGCAGGGATAGCAGGAGTGGGGATGAAAGGCAGTATGGCATAACAGGCAAGAGCCAGAGTCAAACAGTCCTGGGTTCTGTCTCAGTTCTGGAACTTTCGGGGAAGTTAATCCCTCTGAGCCTCAGTTTCCATCTGATACCCTCCTTGTAGGCTATGAGATATAAACTAAGTAATATATGTCAAGTGCTTGGCACAGGCTTAATAAATGATAGTTGTTATCAAGGGTGGGTGACCTCTGAAGGAGGACACATTGTGGAGAGAGGATGGGACCTAGAGTACAGATGTGGTTTGGGATATAAGGATGAAACTAGAAAACGTTTGCAGACTCTTAAAAAAAAAAAAGATGATGTTTGCTGAAATAAAGATGAAAAGACATGAGAAAATTGATGGCTGATGCCTTGTCTCTTTGTACATAGGAGGCAAAAATCTTCTGCTGAGAGAGTACCTGTAGACATTCAGAATCCAGAATCCCCGCAGGCATCCCCACAGTACCTTTTGGTGCCCTGTCTCCCCTTCCTCCTGGCCTGGTCCTGGGGTTGTCCTAGGGCATTTAAACACTTCTTGTTTCAGGAGTCAGTGACCTTTGAAGATGTGGCCATCTACTTCTCTGAGAATGAATGGATCGGCCTGGGCCCTGCTCAGAGAGCCCTGTACAGGGATGTGATGCTGGAGAATTATGGGTCTGTGGCTTCCCTGGGTAAGGGTCTCTCCCTTTGGGTCCTGCCTCCACCCTTCAGAGTTTCCTAGCTTCTTTCTCAAAGGCTCAGGAGTTGTTGATAACCCTCAGCTCAGTGGCAGCTTCAGGCTCTTAGATTTTTAATGACCCAATCTCAGCAGTTGTTGGGAAGTAGGAAGTCCTGGTATCAGTTTGGGCCTTATACCGGATTTCCTTGCCCCAGAGTGAGAGCTGCCCAACCCCTACCCTTGTGTGGTGGGGATAGTGAGAAGAGAGCAGATTCATGGTGCCCCATTGAGCCTTCAGTTCCCTGCCCTCTCGGTTTGCAAGATCCAGCCCAATTCCAAGCATCCTCATGAGGATGTCTGAACTTGAGAGCACTAAGAGTGAGAGGACAGATAAGAATTGAGGACTCAATTCCTCAATGAGTGAAATTATCCATTTGCTGACTCAAACAGTTGTTGAGTCCTCTGTCAACTTCCTAACCTTTGTAAGTCTCCTGGCTCCTCTCCTGTCCTTTACCCTGGAATTCCATTTCTTCTTCCTCTTAGTTATTTTTCTTTTTTCCCCTTCTGCCCATGAAGACACTGGCCTGGGAGGAGCCTTGGGATTACTCTGTGTCACACCACTCACTTGCCTGTCCCGTTTCCTTCCCCTTAAGCAGCATTTCCATTTCCCAAACCGGCTCTGATTTCCCAGCTGGAGCAAGGCGAAGCACCCTGGTGCTCGGCTCCTCAGGGAGCTCTGGATGGAGAGGGCCAGAGGGGCATCTCCTCAGGTGAGTGAGGGCACATGTGCCGGTCATCTGACCAGTTTCTTTTTCATGATCATTAAAATATCATAGATCCGTGTTCTTTTAACCTAGTATTGTAGACACTAGTGGGATTCCTTTTCCGCTGTGTGTTCCCATATTTTCCATCTTCTTGAGTCCTTGTTTTATTCATCCTGGCTCCTCTGTGTGCCATCTTCATTAACCTGTTTTGCCCCTTCCCCATCTCTGCTGGCTATCATGTATCTTTGCCCCCTGAGTTTCCTGTTTACTCTAATCTTGGGTGCCCTTTCTACTTCCTGGCCTGCTTAGAGTCTTCCAGCTTGGGATATAATGACCATCTTTATCATTAGAAACCAAGAACTCTCAACTCTCAGCCAAATATTTCCTATTCCTCAGGGGAAAGCCCTGGGATTACTTTAGGCCCAACAGGACTTTGTTGCTCTTAGCTTCCTAGTGATAACTGTGTTTCCTGGTTGCGTCCTTGGCCCCATTTCATCTTCCCACAAGGCTCTTCTGTGGACACAGTGAGACTTGTGCCGTGCTCCCAGTTTCCTCATTCTCACAGTTCCTTGTTCTGTCTTTTCACATTAGAATGCTCTTGATTGCAGATATTAAAACCCAATTCAGTCTGGCTTAAACAAAAAAGAAGAATTTGTTGTTTCATATAACTGGGAAGTCTGAGTGGGCTGCAGGTACAGTTTGATCAGAATTACAGTCTCTGGTCTGTCTTCATACGTGTTGGCTTTGTCTACAGCCTGGCTCCCCTTTTGGTTGTAAGGTGATTTGTGGTAGTAACAGGATTCTGCTGCCTCATACCTAGGGGAAGAAACCAGGCAGGACTTCCTTAGGCTTTAAAAAATGTGAATCAAGGTCCTAAGTATTCTCTAATGGACTGCTTTAAGTCATATGCCAGCTCTGAGTCAATTACTGTGACAAGAGAACTACTATGCACTGATTGACTTGGTCTGAATTGCCGATCCCTGAATCAGTCTCCTGTGTAGCAAGTGGGATGGGATTAACCTGCTTGGCTTAGCCAAGTCAGAGCCTACCCTAGGAACTGGAATTGGGATACCCAACCACCTACTCCAGCTCCCTACAAAGGACATAGCTACTTTACGGTGGGGAGGAGTGGGATGGGTATAGGGAGACCACCACAGCATCCTTTGCATTCTCAGTGCTTCCTCTCCTTACCACCTAAGGGAATTTCTCTGCTTTGCTTTGCGTTAGTTAGAAAACCAACAGCTAAGTTACTCCTTGACCAAAATTCTAACTCTCTGACCTGCAGCTGACTTCCTTGGCACATGCCTGTCCCTACTCAAAGTCCACTTTTGTCTTATAGAAGTTAATACTCAGAGGATGCATAGTTCCTGGATTTGGCAACAGAAAACTTTGTCATTTGAAGATGTAGAATTGATCTGTTTCTTGGGAGGTTTTGGATGAGGGTTACAAAGAGACAGTTCTAGTGTGGATCTCTGTGAACAGTAGTATGTGTTACTGAGTAAGAAGTGACTTTTGGAAATGGCTGAGTGAGGGTGTGAGTTCATCTTTTATGGATGCTATAGAGAAACCCCATCATTGAATCTTTGTGGAATGAGAAAGCAATAAATGGATAGGAAGGAAGGAAACTAGGAGATTATGTTTTCCCAGAATAGCCTGCCTAGACAGGGAGTCCTCAAGAATAGCTCTCTGCAATTCCATCACATCCTGATTGTTTCCTATGTGAATTTAATTTCATCTCCTAGGGATAGGTGCAGAAAAGGCCATAGTCTTTTCTATTTCTTCTTGACATTTAAAAATGAGTGATATGTTTTCATATCTTTGGGAACTGATAGAATTGTAGCTTCTCTGTTCTAGTATTTTCTATCCTTTATTATGTATGTATGTGTTTATTTTTTGAGGTGGAGTCTCACTCTGTTGCTCAGGCTGGAGTGCAGTGGTGCAATCTTGGCTCACTGCAACCTCTGCCTCCCAGGTTCAAGAAGTGACTTTCCTGCCTCAGCCTCCTGAGCAGCTGGGACACAGGTGCACACCACCATGCTTGGCTGATGTTTTTTGTGTTTTTAATGGAGATGGGGTTTCACCATGGTGGCCAGGCTAGTCTTGACCTCCTGACCTTAGGTAATCTGCCCACCTTGGCCTCCCACTGCATCCTGCCTATCCTTTATATTCATATACCTGCAAATTTCTGCTTATCTGTGTTACAAGTCTTTTCACCCACCTTTATTCCCTCCCTACCACTTCCATGTCTACTCCTTTCTTGATGGTCCTCACTCCTCTGACTGAGCCAGCCTCATTTGTCTCTTGACCCTGGCAGGATATCTATTTCTAAAGCCTGCTGGGATTTCCCATCTTGAGCAGGTGGAAGAGCCATTGAACCTGAAACTGCAAGGAGAGGGTCCAAGCCTACTTTGTCCTGGTAAGTGAGAGGGAAATGAGCGTTCTTTTCCCAGTCACACCTTTTCCTATCTTTCCTTTATAAAATGTAAAAATTCATTTTGCTATTATAGTTCTAAACAAATTTGGGGGCCAAATCCCCAAATCAACCAATTAAACCCTAAGCTTCCAACTTTCATTAGGACAAGCTCAATTAAATTAATTAAAAAAGGATGGGTCTTGGGTCTTAGGCTTAAACTGAACAGATGGCCTGCCCATTTGGCTGCTATGATCACCCAATATTTTTAATGTAGATGCTGTATTTTACTCATTGCATTAGTTGCTAGGGGTAAAATAGTCAAGTCATTTATGGTCCTTATCCTGGAAGGACTCACATTCTAATGTGACATAATACATAAATGTATAGTTACAGAAAAATGATGAAGCTGTAACAGAATGTGAATCAGACACTATGAGAACAAAGAGGAGGGAGTCTTTGCCCATTTCTGCCTGGAGTAGTTTGAGAAAGCACTTTTCATGGTTTCATGGTGAACTTGGTGATTGGATTGAAAGAGAAGACTATACTATACTTTAGTGTTGAAAAGTGTGAGGAAGCTCATTCTTGCTACTGTCCACGTGTGTGACAAGCCCAGGTTCCCAGGTATACCACTAAGGATTCCTTATTTCTGAACACGTCCTCTGCCCTATGTCCTGGCCTGTTCTTCTCATGTTATAAACTGTACTCAGCTACCTAGGAGGAATTCTGACTTGTTTGCCTTAGATTCAATTCACCTGTTTTCTGAGAGCCTACCCTGGGACTTGGTTTGGTGCTTGGAATCATAGCCCTCAGGGATTCTATCTAGTTGCTGTCTTTTGCTTTTGGTTTCTGTGTGTTAGCCTTGTTTTTGCCATTTTCAGCTAGGACAGGCTACTGAGACATGGGTGGCACTTAGAGAGAAGTGGACATATTAATACTACTTGGCGACCTTAGTTGCACTGTCATGGATAATGATGACATTTGTAGCTCTGATTTCTTTTTTCAGAGGGCGTGTGGAAGAGGAAGAAAGATTTTATTCTGAAGGGGGAAATTCTTGAGGAAGCACAGGACCTCATGGTCCCATCAAGTGGACCCAGGTGGTGTGGATCCCGGGAATTATGGTTTGGGAAAACCTGTAAAGGGAAAAGCAGGTTAGGGAGATGGCCTGGTTACCTCAATGGGGGAAGTATGGAAAGTTCAACAAATGATATTATAGAAGTGATTGTCAAGGATGAGAAGATCTCAGTAGAAGAGAGTTCAGAGAATACTGTCAATAAACTCATTGGTATACATCACACAATTCTAAATGAGCAAACATTCTATGTATGTGAAGAATGCAGCAAGTGTTTTGATCAAATTGAGGACTTTGATCAACACCAGAGAACTCATAATGGAGAGAAGGTCTATGAATGTAAGGAATGTGGGAAAGCTTTCAGTTTTTGATCACATTGCGTTGCATATCAGAGAATTCACAGTGGGGTGAAACCCTATGAATGTCAAGAATGTGCTAAGGCCTTTGTTTGGAAGTCACCAGAGAATACATACTGGAGAGAAACCCTTTGAATGTAAGGAATGTGGGAAGGGCTTTAGTCAGAACACAAACCTTACACGACATCAACAGATCCATACTGGGGAGAAACCATACACATGCAAGGAATGTGGGAAAAGTTTTACTTGAAACCCAGCACTTCTTCGACATCAGAGGATGCACACTGGGGAGAAGCCTTATGAATGTAAGGACTGTGGGAAAGGCTTCATGTGGAACTCAGATCTTGCTCAGCACCAGAGGGTCCACACTGGTGACAAGCCTCATGAATGTACTGACTGTGGGAAAACCTTCTTTTGCAAGGCACACCTTATTCAACATCAAAGAATCCATACTGGGGAAAGACCCTACAAATGTAATGACTGTGGGAAGGCCTTCAGTCAGAATTTTGACTTAATTAAGCACCAGAGGCACCATGCTAGCAACAAACTGTATAATTGTCAGATCTCTCACCTTCTTGAACGTGAGCGAGTGCATAATGGTGATACTTGTTTATAAATCTTATGCTACAGGAACCCCAGAGACAAAATGAGATGACCGTTCACAATTTGCTGTAACCCTTAACTTTAATAGCCGGTATTATCTTGCCCTTTTGAACATATATCATGTACTCTAGCCAGATTGGTCTCTCTGTTCTGTGATGTTTGTACAAGGCATCATTTAGTTGGGCAGCTACTCTATCAGGTGCTAACCACTATACATACATTGATTAATTTGTATAACAATCCTATTAAGGTAGGTGCTCTTCTCCCCATTTTATAAATGAGAAATCTGAATTGAAAGAGGTTATAAAACTCATTCAGGGTTTCTCAGTAAGTTATAGATTTGAAATTGGAGCCAGGCCTATCTGACTGCAGAGTTCGTACTGGCCTTTACTTAGTTGTACATATTTATGCCTCTGCCCGTTATTATTTGCTCATTTTCCTGTGCTTTTAGTTTCCCTTCATCACTTAGATCCAGCTCCTTCAGCTAAGCAGATCTGTCTTCCTCTTCTACTTGTAGTCAGTACCACCCAAGTTAGTATTTAATTATGTGTCATCTATATTTTTCTAATAGTCTCATGTCTCAGTCTTAATCTCAGCTAAATGACTCTTTGAGGACCAACACTGCATTTCTTTGATATTTTTCAAATTCTCAGACATTTATCTTTGACTAAATATAACATGCACATGATAAAAAAAGAATTGAAATAGTTGAAAAGGGTGTTCAGTGAAAAGTAAATTTCCTTGTCATTCATGTCTCAATTCTCCACAGGGGCAATCACTGCTAATGGTTGTATATGGCTGTAGATATTTTTTGTATACAAGTGTTTATTAGTACTGCTTTTCATAAGTCTGCCTCGATGAAAACCTTATTTGATGGAGGCAACATTGCAGTTACATTGTCAACTCTAGGATCTTTTCTTCAGAAGTTGCTGTGAGGTCACCAAAGTAATTTAGGGCAACAGCAGAGGGTAGTCCAGGTCTTGAGAAAACTGATTGCCCTTGTTTCATGAGACACCATTCTGGGATTGGGAATATGTAAACTCAACTGGAGATTTTTTTCATAAAAATTTATATAGTTTGGCTTGTGTCAATCAGCTTATCCCATCCCTGGCCACAGAGCCACTGTGATATGAGGAGATACTGGGCCTTCTGGAAAAGAAAGACTTTTCTTTGAGAGCTACCAGAGGAGATATTATCTGTCCTCTGTGTGGCACATAGGAAAATGTGAGGCCTAGAACTACAGCAACTTTTTTTTTTCTACTAAGAGGGGAGATTCTAGAGCTTCCAGGTGCTACCATGTGGAGCCTGAGGATAAAACCAATACCAAAGAAGACAGTGGCAAAATAGAGAGAAACTAGGTCCTTGGTGACATCTTTTGAGCCACTAGACCAAGCCTTACCTGAAGCAGACATACCTCAGAACTTTTCAGCTATGTGAGCCAATAAACGTCTTTTGTCAAATGAGTTAGAGTTGAGTTTTCTGTTATTTGCAACTTAGCCACACAACTACAGTCTTACGTTTGAAAGCACTGTTTTCTCATACAGCTCCTCAGTGTCACCTTTTCCTCTTGCTTAGTAGTTTCATAAGCTCTTCATTTTTATCTCATCTTGGTTGCTTGGAAGTTGAGCATCTAAATAGGGGGCTCTCATGACCTAAGGTTAATTTCATGCATACTACCTAATTGATGTTTTAAGTTATACTATTAATGCAGGATTTTTTGCTCCTTAGTTCAGCTAAAATCTGGGTTCTTGTTTCATGACCAGGAAAAATTAGGTGCAGGGTCACATTGAAAATTGAGGAGAGCAGAATTTATTAAGCAAAAAGGAAAACTCAACAAAAAGAGGGGTCTTGTATGCAGGTTTTCCATCCCACTAAATTGAATACCAGGCCACCACACATGAGCTGAAGAGCCCAGTCTTCTCCCCCTGCATAAGGCATAAATTCCTGGTGGCTCCACCCCATTCTCCCAGTGAGCAGGCAGGCCCTTAGTCTGAGCCACTCCACATTGATTTATTTCCCTTACTGCATATGTGTTAAGGGACAGAACTTTTCACCATGGACATCTTCAGGCAAGCCCCTGTGCATAGTGACGTGGACAGCATTTGGCTGTCTCCTGCCTATATTATTTCCCCCTCTAAAGAAGTACATCTAACTGCCCTTAGAATAAGGATAAGGATAACAACTGTTCTTAACTGCCTCCTGCTGATAGGTGCACTGTTTTGGAAAAGCAGCAGTCAGTTCTCCCTCAGAGGCCTATTTAAGGGTTCCTGGTAAAAGGCAGCCATCGTTTGAGGCTCCAATTGCATGACTGTTTGGAGTTCAATGGCCTGAAGGTGAGAAGAGACAAATCAGGTTGTTAGAAGACATGATCAGAATGAAATAAAGGAGGGATGGTAAGGACAGCTCAGAAATCCTGAGGCTGCTGATGCACCCAGATAACTGGTGGCTATAGTTATGCCTGCTAAGATTTGGGTGTGTGGGGCTTGGCTTTGGTTAGCTCCCTTGGTATTATTTTCCCAAAAAAGAAACCTCTGGGTTATAGGCACCTTATTTACTTCAATCACCTGGCAGGATTTGCAGGGTAATTGCCCAGAACTAGAATATTGATCCAGATTTTTACCTTACTCATCACTTTTGTTTCTTCTGAGCTGCAGCCAGAGATTACTGGTTGGTTCATAGGAATAAGCAGCATTAGTTTAAAATGTGGACAAAAAACTTAAAAACAACTAATGAGTCTAGAATTTAATGACAAAGGTATGATAAATCTTGAAATATAATTTCTCTCCAGTTCTCATTTTTGTTAAAAATAAATCATGATAGGACTGAGTTGTTTCCAAAATAAACTTTAGTCTTGTACTTAGCCTGATTATTTGAATAAAGTACAGCAAGAATAATTGTTTTTACATAGGCTTTTAAAAATTGACAAAGAATCTCAGGACTTTTAAAGCTGAGCCCAGCCCTGGGTTTGTACCCTTAAATAACTATGAGTTGGGTGAATTCCTCCCTTCTTGAAGTCCCAAGAATATGGGGTTCCTGGGCCTGTTAGTGTATGACATTCCTTACTTACTGCAGGTTAGGAAACTTGTATGGGGACTGTGTAAACAAGGTATGAAGTCAGTTTTCCCAAGTGGCTTTTATTGGCTCTGTAAGTCAAGCTTGGTTTCTAAAAGGGAAATCAGGTCAAAGCCTTCCAGTCAAAGCCTTGGGAAAACAACCAGTTTCTCCAATTGCACCTTCTTGCAAAAGAATATTATTATTGCAATGATGCAAAAAACTATATTGCCATAAATTAAGAATACTCACAGCTAGTTTTCAAATTCTGGAAAAGCCAAGCAGAGAGAAACAAATATCTCCAAATTTTGTTCACAGGAGTATACCTTACTCAATTATTAAAGGCTGTTAATGGCTCAAAATAAGTTTCCCTGACTCTGAAAACAAAACAAAGATCAGCAACATTTCAAGCAAAAACTTCAAAAAAAGATTACTTCAGTTTTCTATTAGTTCAGTACATTTCTGTTAACTCTTGTTGTTTGATATTCATGAACATTTAAGCTCTTCATGGGTCCTGCATGTTTTCCTTTATTCCAATGTCATGATCTCCAAGGTTATCAGAAACCTGCATTTGAGAGCACCTGTTAAAGCTCTATGGCTGATTATAAACCATCCTTTGAAGAGGATCGAAACAAGACAAATGTCTGTGAATGATAAAATGTCCAGGGTAGTTACAGTTAAAAATATAATGACAAAGAAAATTTGGTTATCTCTGTGGTTTATAATAACATAATAACCTTAATTATGATTGATAACATATACTCAGACATTAGAATTACATCCAATACAATTTTGGAATATATATTAATATTCCCTAAAATATAATCTGAAGAAGATTAAACATCATTTTGACAATTCCATGTACCTAACCATGTCAATCCTGTTTATCTCATCTGAGTGTTCCAGGGACCCTCTGTAGCATCCAATAGCTAGGAGTAAGGAAAGACAACCTTGAAGCTGAAATTTGATTTTGGGAAGCCTGTTAAATATATTAGAGGTTTAAAACACTTGATGTTATGAAATAGAATTCCAAGCCCTGTGTGGTGGCTCATGCCTGTAATCCCAGCACTTTGGGAGACTGAGGTGGGTGGATCACCTGAGGTCAGGAGTTTGAAACCAGCCTGACAAACATGGTAAAATCCTGTCTCTACTAAAAATACAAAAATTAGCTGGGTGTGGTGGGAGGCACCTGTAATCCCAGCTACTCAGAGACTGAGGCACAAGAATTACTTGAACCCAGGAGGTGAAGGTTTCAGTGGGGGCATATGGAATTAACCGCTTGAGATGGTGCCACTGCACTACAGTCTGGGTGACAGAGCAAGACTCCATCTCAAGAAAAAAAATAGAATTCCAGATTACTATAAATAATTAATTTTGCCAAAATGATAGCTCAAAAATTTGAAAAAACAAAAACCTTTCATTAGCCTTTTCTATTACATCAAAATCCTGTTCAAGACAGAGAAATACAAATTTCACCCTTGCATTTGTTTACTATTAATGTCAATCCCAATTTAAAAAATTAAATCTTATATACCATTATATCCAATCATAACCAGTTTGACCATGAGGTAAGATTCTTATAAACCTTTTATAACATTTTACAAATTTTACTAAAGAGCAGATTAGTGCCTTAAGAAAACCTTGTTGTGCTTTTATTTCAATGCTCAATTTTACAGAAGAACCATATTATACCCTTTTGAATTTAATGTTCACACACAGAGTTTATTTTGAAAGATTTTACCCTTTAGAAACCTTCCATAACTTGTTTAAACCTTTAGCTTTATCTTATCTAATTTAAAACAATCCTCAACCCTAGGTAAAATTTCACATTTCCATGCCTTCTTATAATCTTTTAATAAAAACACCTTACTGTTCTTACACACTTTGCATGTAAATCTATTTTCAGTAGTCTCAATTTCATGTTATAATGATAATTCTTAGCAATTCTTAACTTTAATGTAAAACCTGTAAGTTGTTTTAATTCTGTTCTAGGTTAAGGTGAGGCTTGACTCTTTTCAGTATAGTTAGGGGAGTGGTTAATTTCATATGTGCCCAGGCCTTACCAAGTTGTAAAGCAGGCAAGTGGAACAGTTCTCAAAAGCCAAAGAAGTACTTTATAACCTTAAAACATTTAGCAAACCTAATATCTGAACTGCATACTTTAGAGTACATATTACATCTTAAAGACATTTGTATTTTATCAGTAATCTTTAAGACTGTTTTTATTTCTCAAAGATTAAAGTCACATGAACTAAGAGGCACTAAAGCTCTTTTCCTTCAAAATATATTTGATCTAAGCATTCATTTTTCTTTATGGAAATTAGAGCTCTTTTTAAAAGCCATCATATATAGCACATATATAACTACATAGACAGATCAGTAGCTATGTTTTTTTGTTTGCCGATTTCCTAATTGGATTATTGGCCTCTGGGTGGGGCACTTTAAGGGCAAGGCTAGGAAATCATGCTATTTCTAGGGTCCAATAAACAGGTATGGCTAGAAGACAAAAACGGATTTTGAGAGGAGAGGGATCTATCTGCTTTTAATTCCTGGGGTTCCATGAGGAAAACAGAGGTTTCTCCCAAAATGGAATCTGTGTTGTCTTTTCTGTTTTTCCCAAGGAGTTCCAGGCTATTAGAAATTATCTTAGGGTCTCTCATGCATGCATTAATAATGGCAAAGCAAAATGTAGAAAAAAAATTCAGTTGACTGAGAAAAAAAATCTTTCCAGCAAAACCAGATCCAAGAAGAGAAAAACATAAAGGCCTTTTAAATATACCTATAACTTGGATATCCACTTTTGTTTTTTTGAGATAGAATTTCACTCTTGTCACTCAGGCTGGAGTGCAGTGGTGTGATCTCAGCTCACTGCAACCTCTGCCTCCTGGGTTCAGGCGATTCTCTTGCCTCAGCCTCTGGAGTAGCTGGGATTACAGGCACTTGCCACCACACCCAGCTAATTTTTGATTTTTAGTAGAGATAGGGTTTCACTATGTTGGCCAGGCTGGCCTCGAACTCCTGACCTCAGGTGATCTGCCCATGTTGGCCTCCCAAAGTGTTGGGATTACAGGCGTGGGCCATGCTGCCTGACTTTGGATATCCACTTTTAATTAAGCTGAGCACCCTTTAATAAAATCCCTTTAAATCTCTTATTACTCGACTTCAGCCATGCCAAGCAGCCAATATTTCTGGCTTTTGATCTTTATCGAAAGTAACTTCACAGGTCAAACCAATAAGTCTCAATTAAGGCATGCAAAGCACACTAGATTGGCTACAGCTTAAGATCAACCTCATAAATCCTTTTTCATTAGTCAAAACTTTACAGAGAATATAAACAGTGATCCTTATCATTCCTTTTACTTGTTTGCACAGGAAGAGGAAGGTCAAAGGCCTAAGTGGTAAAAAAAAA